ATAAAGAGCGCCAAGTGACACAATTCAGTGCCTAATAGACGAAAGTGATGTTCTTGAATATTTTTTTAATGTAAAATAGAATTTAAATTATTTCAGTTTTAAACTTATTCTGTGTGATATATTTTCAATAACATGAGATTATGAATTTAATCGTTTTCTTTTAACTTTTTAAAATTTTTATAGTCGTGTATGTTGGCTTGAGAAAGTATTAATTCTTTCAGGAATGGAAATATCTGAAAATATCAGAGGCGCAGAATTATATTTTGATAAAATTCGATGGCGACACTCTCGAGAATTTCCCGTCAAAATTCGTTATGTTCTCTTTTAATAAGTATGGAATTCTTTAGATAAATTGTTGAATTTATTTCTACATATAACTAATGCATTTGATGAATTGTTGTGTATTAGATCCTTTTTGTGTCCATAAATATGTTTTTTAAATTTATGCAAGTTTTCCCAATATATTGTAAGGAACAGTTCTGACAGTTTATTTTATATATACCTGCTTCAGAATTATTATTGTTATGGGTATTTGAGGTTTTGATCATATCCCTAATAGTTTTGGATGTGGTTGTAATTATTTTGATGTTTTGATTGGATAGATTGTTTTGGATAGTGGATGTTACGGAGTTGGAATGTAGTATTGTGTACCTGTCTTTAGTTTACTGTCATTGCTATTGGTATTAATAATGTTGCTATCATTTTGCGGTTATATATTTTGTTTACTTTTCTCTTAGCATTTTGGATGAAATAACGATATAGGATGTTTATGAAAGTGTTTTATGTGTATATTTCTTCTTTGGGTAAGTATTAGGGGCTGCAAATTCTTAGTGCTCTTAAATAGAATGCTATAGTTATTTTCCAAGCGTAGCTTATATGTGGCACAAGGCCGAAAGTATGGGGCATCTAGTGAGGATCGAACTCACTTTTTCAGTTGTAACTGATCTAGCGAGACAAGCTTGCTAACACCACGCCGAGATTGGAGATTTTATCTTGTTGCAGTTGTTGAGTGCCATCCCAAAACGGACACAGAGTAGAATTTTTTCCCAACTATATATATATACATTCTATGTATGATTATTTCTTTGTATGTAAATTATATGCTGCCTAATGTTTTATGTTTATTAAAAACTATCGATCGGCAGTACATAAAAATTCCTATAAAAAAAAACTACTACTAAGACATTACACTATATTATTGAACTATATACTTAGTTCATGACATAAAAACTGAATGCACTTGTAAAAATAGAATACGTGGATTTAACACATCACAAGAAATATTTAAATAAAATTCTCACTTAAAATTTTGAAAAACTTAGCGTTGCGTCTTTGCACGTTCCGAGATCTTACACAACCGTCAATAATAGCAGATATTCAAAAACATCTTTCGGTCGACATACAGGTATATCGTCTTCAAGTTTTTGATTTTATAAGGTAAAAAACACATGCCTGATGATGAATAGAGGCCTATTCGTAAGTACTAGCATTTTAACATCAAATAAACTGAAAACTACAGACATCAAGTTTATCGACGAGGATCACTTCACTCTATGGATGAACAGTATTTTAATGCATATATTATGTTTTTAGCGATGGATGTCGCCAATAATCGCATTAATACTTCTGATTCATTCTATGTGTGATTATTTGTTTGTATATATATATATATATATATATATATATATATATATATATATATGCGAGGAGCTAACTGCACCAAGAAGTGAGGGTAAAATTTTGGATTTTACCAGCTATTTCATGTGGTGCGCTGCCTATTCCTGATATAATGGGCCTCATCAGGATGTCCGTTTTATGTATTTTTAGTAACCTACAAAGTGTCGGTATTTTGGGTAGTGTTCGATGAGTTTTTACCAGAATAAACTTTCTTTTTGTTAAGGTTACGGCATCGTTTCATCATGTATGTGCATGTTTTAACAAATCTTTTGAGGTCCGGTAAAGGATAGCGGCTCGGACTGAGGAATCGGAGAGCCAAGTTCGAGTCCCAGTCGAATCCATTATATTCACTTACGTTCTAATACCCATGCGAAAGTGTATGAATTCTCTTCTTCTCCCCCAGCTATGGATAAATAGGAAGAAGAAGGATTCATATAGCACCTCATTCAATAAATCTCTACCATCTGTGGTCCTGAAGCCTTGTACTGAGAGAACCTTTAAAAAACATACATATGTAAGACACAGCATATCGTAATAACATGACAGTAGTTGTTGGCGAGCTCGTTTTTTAAATGGAGACCATTACAAGTTAACGAGTTCAGTCCTACCAAAACGTCCCATAGCTGTATTGTCAGCTCCAATGCAGTTTTGTAAATCATTCACTAATTACTATATCGATGATAATATCCCTCTTATCCTTCATTAAATATCGATCGATATCGGCAATGTCTTTATTTTTACTGATTTATAAATATCTACCCAGATAGACATAAATCTACTCAAGGCCAATCTGTTTATATCACTCGTTCGATCTGTTTCTTTG